TATTGTTTGTGTTTTTTAAAAATATATTTCTTAAGAATTGCGGAGAGAAGAGTTTATCATACGTCATATATGCCAATCCCATTGCGTCACTTAAAGACAGATCCTTCGCCGACTGTTAAAGCGACGTCCCGTTTCGCAGTTAGTACTGGAACGAGAAAATTTGTCACTGTTCAATGGTTCCGAGTGCCGAGAATAGTCTTAAAGCTGTACTACTCCACTGAAAAGTGGTTTAAATATAAGTGAAAAATTCCACCGTGCAGAAAATGTATTCTACCAGTTCTACGTTTGAAGTTCATGCAGTTTTATAAAAATTAAAAATACTTTTGTTGGCTGTGAACGTCTCTTATATAGCTATATAAGTGTAAGATTGACTGAATGAATATGTTTTAAATTTCTGTTTCTTAGATTTAATACGAGCATAATTTTGTGTACTGTATTTGAGTAAAACTTCTACTTTTCATGACTATTGAGACATATGATACATGTAATAATATTTCTTCGTCAAGACTAGTAATTTAAAAGAAGGAGTGGATTCTTTTGTTTATATCTTGATTACTTTCAAAATGAAATCTAAAACGTTGGAGATAGATGACTCATTGGATATAAATGATCTTCATCTGAAAAATATTCAGCATTTTTTTCTACGTATAAATATAAAATCTTAAATAAGAGTTCTTGGTGATATTTTTTAGATTTTCATCATCTTAGCACACAGATCATTTCTAAGAAGTTTTCAGCTCAGTATCGTGACCCTGCTAATCTTAAAGCTGATTTTTTTATGAGCACAATAGGAGAAGTCATGGGGTTTTCTGTGTTTATAAGCTCTTAAAAAGAACCTTTCAATTGTGAAAAAATTAAAATAAATGCTAAACATTTATTATGATTTCCAGGATATTGCATTACTAATTGAATAATCCTCTTATTTTTCAGGTAAATGTATAATTTTCTAGGTGATAAATTTATTTGAAAGAACATACCTTGTTTTTTTTTTTATAGTTTGATGATGTTGTATGATTGACTGCAAACATTTCCTATATTATTATAGGAAGAGGTGCGGTTTTTGTTCATATATAGATCGAGCCAAGAATCCAAGATATTAAAAAAGTATTATTGAAAAAAAAGAATAGGATTTGTTAACCATGCATCGGACACATACCTTGCTTCGGATAACTTTAGGCAGTAAACCTCTTCCAACTTAAGAGTTCTGTGTATTTATTGTTTCTAACTTGAAGCTGAAGATTTTAAATTTTTAATGATATCGATTGTGTTTATCATGTTGTGATAAAAATACTCCGAGAATGGCCTTGAATTTACGTCATATGTTATCGTTCTTTTAAATTCGACTTCAACGGAACGAGTCAGACTTTGGTACATTTTGTCAAAGATTGGTAATTTTACACGAATTTTAAAGAAATTTCACTTCAATGTTTGTATGCTTCTTTTTAGAGCTGGTTCTTACTAGTATGTTTATTTCTCCGTACATCGGACACTTTCCGATGCAAAGGTAATCACTACAATTTTCATACAGAACCCAACTGACAGCTGACTTTTTTAGGAAATAGAAAACAAAACCTCTAAATTTTCAGTCAACTACAAGTTATCGAAATATGACATCTAGAATCTGACTCAATTTATTTCTCCAGACCAGACTATCTTAACCCATGAGAGAAAGGTGGGAATTACAGCATTACAAGCATTTTAAAGCATTTCTAAGGCAAAGTGGGGCATATTGAATCGTTCTACATTTGTGCAACGATATCGTCAATTAAATTGAAGTTGAGGGTTTATTTCTTAGATAAAATATAAAAGTATATCCATATCAAGGATTTTAAAGCACTGTGATAAAGGTATGATATTTTTTTCGGTCGAAATACCGTCTGTCCGATGCATGGTGAATAATGTCCGATCCAGGGTGAATTTTAAGTTATTTAGATAAAATCGATTTTTGGTGATATTTTCTCAATAAAAGGCATATAATTGTGTCCAAAATTTATATTTTAATCACATACTAGGTGTGAAGCTCCAACTTGATAATTTTCTGTCGGTAGCGATATCGCTAGAACTTGTTGAAGTACAAGGGTGTCCGATGCATGGTGAATTCACCCTATACCGTATAACCCCTATTATCCGCCCCTGCCCCTATAAGCGCCCCTAGGTCGTTTTTCAATTATCAGAAAAAAAGAGTCCCCTGTACAGTGATTAAAATCATCTAGAATCGTATCAAAAGTCTGCCAAAATTTGAACAAAGTGAAAATGTAACTTGTCTATTATCCGATTTCTCAGTGGAAAATGAATCATATCGCATAAATTAAGTGGATTATCTTCACTTAAAGTATAAGGATAAGAATGACATTAAATAATGTTAAGAGAATACCGAAATAACCGCCCCCTTTTCGAAATTTTCTAAGCGCCCGGGGCGGTTAATAGGGACTATATGGTATTTAACATGTTTAAGTTTTGTTGCGTCCGATGAAGCGACGAAAAGTGCCCCTAATGTAGAATATTGACCAGTCAATATTCTAAGGGGTTCAATATTTGTCGTTACACCAGAATTTGAATCCCCATTCCTGATCTGCCTTCGAAATGAGCAGTAAATACCTTCGACTGAGCTGTCAAGAAGAATTACAGGATCCTATCTCTGATTGGATTATGGCTGTTTGTTACTTTTCTTGATTGCAGGCAGCAGTTAAGAGCATTTTGTATAATTATCATGATGTTTATAAGGGGTCATTTTGAAATACCCCATTACATTATATTGTACATGTACCATGTGAAAGATAACAGGGTTTGAATTCTTATTCTAGTCTAGTTGACCCCCTTCCCCTTTTTTTACTCTGTGCATCATGTTGCAATGTCATTATAGTTCTTGGGTTAGATTTGTAATATTTTGCCTAAGATTGTAACACTGGGTGAAAAAAGTGGTTTCCCATCACGGGAAACTTTATGGAAACCACATGGAAACCTCAAGTTTACATCATGTTTCCCAGTGGTTTCCGTAGCGGATGCTAGGTTATTCCGCCAAGTTTCCGTGACACGGAAACCCCCTACGCTCCGATTCCATAAGGTATCCCGAACCACGGAAACCTCTGTAAACCTGAAGTTTCCCGAACATCCATGTAGTTTCCCGTAATGGGAAACCTGAAGATTCCACTGGTTTCCAGAATTAGGAAACTTGATGGAATCGGAGCGGAGGGGGTTTCCGTGGAATGGAAACTTGGTGGAATCTTTAGGTTTCCTGTTACGGGAAACTACATGGAAGCTCGGGAAACCTCACGATTCCTTAAGTTTCCTTGACTCAGGAAACCATATGGAATCGGAGCGTAGTGGTTTCCGTGGAATGGAAACTTGATGGAATCTTTAGGTTTCCTTATATGGGAAACTACATGGAAGCTCGGGAAACCTCATGATTCCTAAAGTTTCCTTGACTGAGGAAACCATATGGAATCGGAGCGTAGTGGTTTCCGTGGAATGGAAACTTGATGGAATCTTAAGGTTTTCTTTTATGGGAAACTACATGGAAGCTCATGAAACCTTATGATTCCTGAAGTTTCCTTGACTCAGGAAACTATATGGAACTTGTGTAGCACTTTCTGTGTGGCGGAAACTTTGTGGAATTATCTGGAGTCCCATTCCTGGTGGAAAATTACTGGGAAACTTCAAGATTCCCTAACTTTTCTAAAGGAAGCAATGTGAAATAATGCGTATTCTTTTAAAAATCTATCAAAAAAATTTATTACATGTAAAAGAAAAAAGCATTACCATTTTATATGTTTAATAATTCATTTGATGTACAAAAACTGTAACTGAATTTTTCAATGATATCAAAATATTAAATAAATTCATATATCTTAGATAAACAATGGAACAGTCTTTCACATTTAAGTCCATTCATAAGGGTCATTAAGTACTTCTTTCAACATCAGTTTCCTGGTTTTCTTCACGTCACCTATGATCTGCAATATTCATAAAAAATTATTATATGATGACAGAATTATAATGCTTGAATATAACTTAGAAATCTGAAAGATCAGTCAATGTCCTTTAAAGCTGAACACGATTCGTAAAAGTATTGTGTCCGCCATTTTAGTTCTCGAGACTCGCTACTCTGCAGACCCCTATAAATAGGGCAAGATTTAGAGACTGTTCAGTTTAATCAGTCGACACCGGAGAAGACGGACGTATGCTATACAGGACTTGGTAGCGAGAATAATAACGTAATACTTCGTCTAATGCAGGGAAGTAAGATACCAAATAAATTTATAATTATAGGTACATAATTCTGTTCAGTATACAAACAACATAGATAAACGTAACTGCAATAAAATATAAACAAAGGTAATGCAAGATAACCAGCACGAACACGGGTCGCCATTCCACGCCGATACCTGTGACAATAAAGCAGTCAGGTGTAACGAATACGACCATTATACCCTAGTATTGATGTATCGTAGATAATGCTATCAAAAATGGCGTAAGCCTATTTACGAGTCGTGTTCAGCTTTAATATACCAATATCAATAATTACTTTCCATGACCATGATACATATGATTTCAGCATTTAATGTATCTCTTTAATATTAAATGCTTTATGATAAGTGAAAAAAAATAACATAATATAAATAATGTTTTCAGCCTTATTATGTCATTGAAAATATATTACTACATGTATCTCATACTAAGAACCCTGCTTTAAGTTTGATTAGTTTGAGAGAAAACATACCCTTTATAATAACAAAAATATTAGGGAGAGATTTTTTTTTAATTTTGATATTCGACCTAGAAATTGATTGAAGATCATTGCAGATCCTCCACCCCATCGCACAAAAGCTAGATTACACCAGGGGAGAAATATACTCTGGACTACGGTTTTAAATAAAGATATACAGTAGATTTTGATACTGACCTTTGACCTAGAAAATTAGTCCAAGGTCACTCTTCATCCTCTATCCACAGGCTCTCTGTAGTTTAAGTTTGAGAGAGAAATATGCACAGAACAATTAAGTGATTTCAGATGGAGTGATGGGTAGACACTGTCTTAGGGCATCCACAGAACAGGACCTAAAAATAATGCAATATATATGTATTACAGTATATATACACATGTACTTGTATGTTAATGATTTATCATATGCTGCATTGGACACATATGATTTTATCATGGTTTAAGTATACATGTATCTTATGAGTAATTTTATACCGGTATTGCATGTATGCTTAGTTTATTTAAGAAATAAATAACAAGTTTATAAACTTCAATGGGAGAGATACCACATGTATATATAAACAAGTAATTTAATTTTTTTTTTTACATATATTGACCAACATTATTTACATCCATTCATCATGTTCATGAATTGGCTGATCAAAATTCAGTCAGTTTTAGATCTATATGATATACCATAAAGGACTTTCACATTTACAAAAGTTATTCCCCTTCGCAGGGTCGATCTGGGGTCAACCGGCTTAAGACGCTGTTTTCCCTCTTTAACCGTATCAACTTTGAGGGACAATATCTTAGAAATAAAATTTGTATGAACATATTCATTATGATTTTCATGTTGCCCCTATAATCTGGCAATACAGATCGTAATTGTCCAATATTTTTGAAGATTGAAAATATTAACAAGTAACTTACAAAGGACAAAGTGGGGAAAATGAGCGATATACCGACAATTGGAGAAAACTCTAAGGAATGTGAAATTAGTCTATTGGTGATGACAATTCCTGTTTTAATGTCACTGAAAAATTAAGAGACATTTAAAATTTAAGCCCTATTGTCATACACGCATGTAGTTTTTTCATCCATATAACCTTTTAGTATCATAAAATTTACCAAAATTTAATACTTCAAATAATTTCATTGAATATCTATAAAATAAAAGAAACTCTAAAAACTTAGTGACTTGCAGAAATTATTCCTTGAAGAGAAAAAAATCTCTTCGCCCAAGAAAAGATAACTCACTCGGATGACAATAAGGTAGTAGCCGAGGCCTTCAGATTGCACTCGGAGGGCCTCGGGTACTACCCTATTGTCATCCGAGTGAGTTATCTTTTCTTGGGCGAAGAGATTCACATTGTGCAGAAAGCAGGGATTTTCGTTAGATAAAAGCTATTTTCGATAGATATATTTGGAATATTTTAGCCTGGATAAGTACTAGGACATCATTTGTGCTAGTTCATTTCAGGATTTGTGTAACTTTTCTCAAGTAAGTTGTTTTTAAAAATTGTGTGCTACTTTCGATTCTTCCCTTGTGTATTTTTATATGTGAAGTAGAGAACAGAGTGGGTAAGATGCCCCTGTGATTAAAGTAGAACTCTTTAGTGTGCATTTTTAGAGCTTCCTTTAAGTAATCAAAATACTGACCAGCAAGAAATCAGTTAATAAGCATTTCCTTTTTTTCATTCAAATTTTTGGAGAGATCTCAAAGTTTTTTCCTGTTCAATTCAGGTTCAAGACGACAAAGTTTTATTGAAGTGTATGTATTAGAGAACTGATTGTATGTCAATCAAAGCAATACACACATAACATGGAGGGGGCAAATTGTTTCAGCCCTAGCTTTTACATACAACTTCTTGTAGCTCACAGCTGATATACCACAGTTCAGTATTTAAATAAAATTTAGAATCTTTTTTTTCAGGCAATTGTCATATACATACTAATCATGAATGAATTACCACTTACCAAATGACCACATCCTGAATCATCATACATTTTCTATGATTTTATCTCACTGGTTTTCTTTTAAAGTCACACAGTTTTCTTCTCTCTGAAATGATAAATTATGTCCAGGTACTATTGCATTCTAATTCAAACTAATTATGTAATAGCATTAGCAACAACCGGGATGGAAGAAAAAATAACAAGAAGTCTCTGTCGAGACTGTAGCTCTACTGGTTTGTACTTATCAAAAACTGATGCACAGAATTATGTATCTTAGTATAGTCTACTTGTGTGCCAAGTTATATTGAAATCAGACTAAAATTTAAGGAGGAGTAGTGTTTGCAGATAGACGGACAGACAGACAGACGGACGTACGCATTACTATCGCATAAGCTCTTCTGGTCTCTGACAAGTAGAGCTAAAAACAAGATGCGCTTGTGAAACACAGCAACAAAGTTCGAAAATGCAATTTTTTTTAGCATACAGGTCACAGTCAAGATCACATAATCATTGTCCTTGTTGCCATTTGAAAGCACTTCATTAGTGGAGTATACATACTAAATATGAAGCCACTATCTCATATAGTTCTAAAGTTATGGTGAAGGTTTAAGTTGACAACAGACACTCAGACAGACACACAAATATACAGTTATGGCAAAAGTTTGAACATTATAACTTGGTATACACACAGCCACTTCGAGGTATCAAGGGTAAAATTTACAGCACAGCGGGACTGCATTTTGACTTCGAGGGATCAAGGGTTTCGAGAGATCAGGAGTTCGAGAAATCAAGGGCAAATCTGCTTAGTTATATAGTAAAAAAATCGGGACCGGAGACTCACTTCAAGCGATCAAGAACTTCCGAGAAATCGAAGTTCAAGCCATCAAGAGTTACCTGTATATACACGATATAAGAAGCATGTTATTATTTGCAATTTTGACCTAATGACAGCTAAATCTGTTCAGTAAGACAATACCGTGTACATGTATGTAAGTAGTTTTATTGTGCATGATTATTTACTTATTTTCTTGATCTTCTCAACTTGAAGTGTTCTGTATTTTATTACCAAGTTTGTAATAAACATAATGAAACATACCCTTTCCCACATCACATCCTGTATCATACCTTTGACCAATATCAGCCCTAGGGCCTCTGTCCCTCTGGCTGATATTGGTGTCTCGGGCTAGGATGTAATATGGAAAAGAGTATGTATTATTCGCTATACATTGACCTACTCAGGTCAATAAATGTGAAAAAGCTGATGATTCATTTGCATTTCTTGACATACTATCAATATTAATTCACTATTACGCTTTTCTTTTTTTACATCTTCATCTCAACAGGTTAGACATTACAAAAAAAAAATCTTTTGAGCAGTAAACTATTTCAATAAACAATAAAACAAACATAATCTCTTCAGAAAAGTGGACAGGCTTTTACCTACATTCACTTTTTTATGTATATTTTTCCTCCATATCATCGTCATGCATATGATTAAGGGTTATGCTATTCGCTACAATCTACAGGTCCAGGAAAATCACTATATTTAGCTATATAGGTAAATCTACCTATATAGCTTTATTTACCTATAAAATATAGCTATAAGACAAAAAGTCGCATATTGAGGCAGTATTAGTTTTCAACTTTGAAATGGACTGAAAACAATTCACCAAAAACCCACTTATAAAAATGTTTCTCCTTTTGTGCAATTGAAATCAAAGATCTAAAAGTTTTGGGGCTATGTATAACAGTTAATCTGTGAGTAAGCAGCTACTTTAACAAAGAAAAGCAGTTTTGGTCAACACGATAATTGATTGGTAATAATTGACCACAATGCAAGGAAATCACACTTAGTCATGCCTCACCACACTTCCAGCTATCCAAACAATAGAGATACATTTTTTGGTTAAAAAGTGTTTATAAGAGGCAATGTTTTTACTATCAATGCCCTAGGTTGTTTTATCAATCCTTTTAAAAAATATATCAGCCATAATTTACATGCGACTTTTTGTCTGCTTTTCATAAAACAGAAACTTATTTTAAAATAGCTAAATAAAGCTATATTATATTGGTAAATAAAGCTATATAGGTAAATAAAGCTATATAGCTAAATATAGTGATTTTCCTGGACCTGATCTATTCCAACTGTTCTGATGAGGATATCCTTCATGAATAATCGGATAAGCTGAGATTGAAGACACTTTTTGTAAAGCTTTTATCAAAGTTTTGAACCAAAAATAATTAATTTATACCTTTCCATAAGTCTTAAGTTCCAAAAAACAAGAGTTGGCTATCCCGTAACTATCCGAAAAGTCAGAAAACACATGAATTCAAACCGGATGTTCTACAGTATGAAGTTAACTACGAAACCATGCTCGGTGTAACTATCATCATCCGGATAATTTGAGCGGGGGTAAAAATATTTTTTTTTAATTCCGAAAAGGATTCATTTATATATAGAGGGAGAACATACATATAGAGCATACATTTTAATAAACATGATAAAAGGCGAAACGTTGCCATTTTACAACATACAGCATGCACATGCACGGTGCCTTTGGGACCTCCATAATCTAAGTTATGCTACATCACTGTCTCAATTTTTTTTTCTCTCTCTTTCTCTCTGCAATATATACACTTAACAATTTAAAACTTAGGTATCCAACTTTTCAAAATGGCGTCAGAACAAAAGTTGCCTCCGATAGTGAAGATTTGTTGTTGCCAAATATTACAACTATTTACCGTAAAAAGTTAACAAAAATATACGTACACTAATCCTTCATTGTTGGCCATTGCATTTATCACAGTCTTAAAGACACTGGGTGGTGAAATCATCTTAACTTTTCACATTTACCAGCTGCTTACACCTTCTTCTTCGTCCTTCTCGATCCTCCAAAAATGGCGCCTCGGGAAATTGACCAATGAAATAAAGCGCCTACAGAGCGATGCAGGATGGGAAATATAAACTGTTTACATTCACTATGATTAAGTGTGATAATGAGATCTTATATTAGAATTTAATTAAGTTCTTCCTTTTTCATGGAATAAAAAGAGGGGCTCCTAAATATTTTTTCCGATATGATGTGTAGGCCTAGTATATTTAGAAAAAGCAGAAAAAAAATGTTTCTTGCTTGACACCTCAACTTATTTGCCTTCGGGATATGGGTTTCGGGGCTTGGTTGTTGGTAGTGGCCGTCCTTGCTGAAAGTACCCCCCCTTCCCCGCTTCTTTTAACTGTTACATGCATGATTATGAATTTATAATGTCACACCAAAAGATGTTAAATTTTTAAAAGCACATTTTTTTATTGTGAACTTTCCACAGGAATCCTAAAAGGCATGAAAATGGGCTACAATTATAATATGATTATCAAGAACAGTTTTTTTTATTTCAATAGTGATGATTGAAAAGTTCGGTGATTAATAATTCATTGCTAATAAATTGTTGTTTTTTTTGGGGGGGGAGGGGGGATTAAATTACTAATTGAACTCCCTCCTTTTCGGGTTTAATTATAGATTTTGATCCTGCTATCAATATTACTGGTGGACCTGCTAGACTTTTCTGTAATTGCTACATGTACATTGTACTTTAAACTCCTTGGCCTTTAGCTTAAAAAATTGCCCACATCATTTTAACACGTAAAATTGTTAAATGAATCAGAATGTTGAAAACCTTTTTCTTAGGAGAGTTATATCTCTAGGTGGAACAAAACTAACATCTTATCAAAGGCAGGAAAATATAACAGTATTTTAATTCAGTATTTTAGTCGTGATTGGTATAAGTGAAGTCATGGGAAAGATTATGTCGAAAGTCATCTATACTCGTTGATGTGCAGGGCTGTACTTATATGCATACAGCTTTAGCTTGTCCCGCCCTGTATTTCTTTAATGTTTTTTTTTTCGTTAAGAAATCTGGTAAGGTATGCTAATAAAAATAAAATCCCGGTTAGTTTATAACTCTAACGGAAATTACTTTCCTACAGGCCTGAAGATCGAGTTTATTAGTCACGCAAGTTTTTTTTTTAAAAAGAGTAGCATATCGGCGAATAAAAATAAAGTAGTGTACAACATAGATAAAGAAATGTTTGTTGAAGTATTGACAAACTTCATACCTTTATAGAATGAAATCAACAAAAACTGCACAAAAATACAATCGTGACAATTATACAATGAATTAATTATACAATTAATTCTTTTAATAGATTGCCTTAGCATGCATTACTTTTAAAGCCATTGTTCTTAAGGAAAACAAAATCATGCAAAATATTATAGACTTTTCTTTATCTAGAGCAATGGCCTTTGGAGAAAAAATGGCTGAAAATTTTAAAGTTTGTTAAATATAGTGTATGTGCGTTTATGACCCTACATTGTAATTTCATGCGAAAAGTGCAGGCGTTTTCTACACGGGGATCTGCGTACATATTTAATAAACAAAAAAGGAAAGAAAAAAAAAACGTTTTATGTGATGAATTATATTATAAACATTTATCTAATAAATGTCTTTGTAGTATGTTAGATTACAAATTTCACACAAAAACCCATCAACAATATTAAATACAGTTTTGATTTCACATTGATCTATTAACGTCATTCTGATTTAATATAATTATACACGACGAGAATTAAGATCTATTCAATACCTATAGAAAATTATTTAATTTCTAAAGAGGATAGTTTTATTTTAAATCAGTAATGAAAATTGAAATAAAAATTCTAAATAGTTTGTGCTTTCATTGAACTTCTTAAATGTAGGTTATTTTATAAATATGTTCTCTTGTATAACTTTATTTATGGAATATACAATTTTTTAAATGATGAAAGAAACACGAATCATCATCTTAATTTAAAAGAATTTTCGGTCGGAGACTGTGTGTGTACATGCTCGACAGCAGCCCATTGTTCCCTTTAGGTACAAAACCGTCTCAATTCACATAGAATATACAAAAAATACACAGTGACAGGTGTCTTCGCGGCACGTGTCTCCACCTGAAATGGCACGTGAGGACAGGTGTCCCTAATTACACAGGCCGACCATAGTGACTTCCTCAAAAGCGTTTTTTTTTCGGGGGGGGCTTCTCAAGGAAAAAATGAAAAGCAACCCCCCACCCCCACCCCCAATAATAAAAACAATAATTTAATAAATTTAAAAAAAACAATATTCACTATTAATAGTCAAATACTAGTATGATAATACTCCACCCCCAGCCAATTCGATAAAATGATTCTTATCTGACCAGTTTATATTAATATATTAAATCATATTAAAACAAAATCTTTATCACTTTCTAAACTTGTATTTAAAAACTTGAAACACTAAAAATGTAATTTTGACAAACCAACTGAAGTATTTTTTTTCCTGACGGATTACCCCGGTGTATAAGAAATGCCAACCTCTGGTATCTAACACAAATGCCTGGTAAGGTACCTTGATGTCTTATGAATACATGTGATTATGTAAAAATAATTCTTCAATGTCAGTTGCAAAATATTGGAAAAAAATTTAATTATTTTATTGAGGAACGTCTCACCTGTCCTTAATCAGTAATCGTAACTTGACATATTTCTTTATTTACTTTTTAATCGATCTTTTTAGTTAACCTTTTCTGTAAATAATTTCATTAAATGTACCCTTCCTTAGCTCTTCGATTTTTTCAAAGGAACATTCATCATAGACAGCTTCAAGAAAGT